CTTATAATATTTTCCAGTTTAATACCTTTGTCTGTCTAGGTCATCTTCTATACACAGACCTTAATTTTATTAACTGAAAATTTATTTCGCAACAGACTGGGCCTTTAATGGGACATTTAAACTTATAGAGTAAACTAAGAGACAGTACAACTATCTAATACTAGTCCCTCAAAGCTTGCACATCTTTATTGCCAAAAACAAACTGATCTCTCTCCATCATTGAAACTTTTCCACTACCTCGCACAGGATTGGCATGGCGTTCATAATAAAATATAAAATCTATAATGTAATGAATTTTGGGAGTACATAATGAACTACCGCTCAGGATAACAAGTATTTACCCAGGTCTTTCCTAAATCACGTCTTGCTCCAAGACCAGCCCACCCTCTATGCCCAAGACTTTCCAATCTATTTGACCCCAAAAATTCTTAGGCTATTAAATCAGCTTTTCGAAAATTTGCCACTTTAACAGAATTTTCTCCTATAGATCTATTCCATTCCATGCTAAATCTGATTTCTTTGTGATTACTGTTCCCTAGTTCCCTAGTTAGTCCTAGTTCACCTCTTTCAATTTCATTAATTTGTGTTTCCAGTTAGGAAATAGGGAAATTTGTGTTTCCCTGTTGTTTATTTTGCACCCCACATTCATCCTGTGAGACGTAGTTTATTGTGTACCAATATTCATCTTGTGAGCGGTAGTGTATCGTACACTCCATACTCATCCTGTGAGCAGTTAAACAAAAAATTATTGCAGAGGGCACAAATAAGGCTGTAATCTTAGCCCAACGGAAATGTTCACATTAAATTGCATCTAACCTACACACACCTAATAATTATCATGACAGCTAGTAACAATTAACTTTTCACGTTGCAACATCTATGTATCTACACTATATTACTATACATTAGAGGTAAGTCTCTTGTTAATACCTAAAACAATTTTCAGTATTGGATATTATGGGATAATAGCGCGCGAGCTGCTGTTTGTGTTCTTTAGGCTACACATATTACAACATATACCTAACTCATTCATTTATCATTTATCTACTAGAAGATAAATATGGATACAGTGCAAGGATTTCAGATATTTTATAATTTGTAATAAGATGAAAATAATTTACAAAAATAATAATAATAATAACTCCTTGTATAGGTTTTCAGTTCAACTACTAGCAGCAGCAGTCAAATCTCTCTCTCTCCCTCTCCCCTGTACAGGTGTTGGCGTGTCTGTCGTCAGGACTGTTGTTGACAGGTGTGATGTCCGCGTGGGGGTTCCCTGCTGTGGTACTCCCCGAGCTCACCATCAACATCACCACCCTGCCCCAGCTCACCATCAACACCACCACCCTGCCCCAGCTCACTGCCATCACCACCACCCTCCACCTCTCACCATCTCAAGCCAGCTGGTTCGGTGAATATGTTGCTGCTTCTTGTTCACACCATTAAATTACACCTTCAGGTTATATTATTAATTTATCATGTAAACATTCTAAAAATATAACCAGGTATATAATATATAATATAATATAATAATATATATTATAATATATATATATATATATATATATATATATATATATATATATATATTATATTAAATATATTATAATAATATATATATAATATGCTATATATCATAACTACATATATAAATAACATAACTAAAGATATATGTGTAAAAAATATAACTACTTATACATACAAAAATAAATTCAAATTATTTTTATTTAATATTTATTTACAAGAAAGCACATTGCGTTGTGAGGGTACATAACATTGGTGTTGGAGCGTTACATTCTTGCAAAGCCACTAGATTGCAACCTGTCCTCATAATAGAAGGTCGCATTTTGACATATATTTCTACCTACGGCCTAAAATGGTAGCTGCTCGTGAAATACATCCTGTCCCGTTTTCTGTTTTGAGTCCTCTGGTAGGTTAGGATAAGGGCACTTTAGTACGAAAGTTTCTAAAGTACGACAGTATTCACCCCTGGCTGACACCTACATTCACAGGTGCTGATCGAGCAGGTGAGGCGGCTAACCAGAGAGAAATAGCAAAATCTGTCAAATACAGGCGATTGGAAGGTTAATACACCTTTGTTCACATAGCGTCTGAGACGCTCAGCCCCTGGGGAAGGAGTGCTTTGGGGTAGCACAAGATTGAGAAGCAGGCTGGGATAACTGGGAAAACACTAAACTGGGTAATGGAGTACCTGATGGACAGAAAGCAGTCCCAGTCAGAGAGGGGGTTTCAAGCTGGAGGAATGTAACAGGGTTAAGGTTTGCAAGAGAAAGCGCTAAGCCAGTACGACTATACAGCACTGGGAAAGGATGAGGATAAGGACGGAGAGAAGGGATGGTGCACAACGTCTTGGACGGTCGGGGATTGAACGCCGACCTGCAAGAAGCGAGACTGTCGCTCTACCGACCAGTCCAAGTAGCTGTCATGAATGTAACATGTGGCGTTCACTAAGGCACGGTCGTAGAACCGCTGCTGTTCCTACTTTATGTGTACGACCAACGAGACGGAGTATGCTGGTACATATCAATGTTTACAAATAACCCAAAGCTGATCTGGAATGTAAAAGCGGAGCGGTAACTGCAAGAAGTTACAGGAAGTCAGACAAACTCCAGGAGTGATCATATATAAAATGGTTGCTGGAATTCAGTCCCAGCAAGAGTAATGTAATGAAGATGGGAAAGGAAGAGAGGAGACCAGAAGGCATCTACATCATAAGGGGAAGGCAGCTACAGGAATCAGAGAGAAAGATTTGGGAGTGGATATAGTCGCAACACTAATAGCGGGGGCACACATAAGCAGGATAACAATAGCAGTATATGGGACGCAGGCAAATAATACTAATAATTCATTGTCAGGGGGACAGGAAGCCAGAGTGTGTTCATACTCGTTAGGCTTATATCGACAAACAACACATAATTTTTTGGCTAAGTCTCAAAAAACTGTCGGTATACTTTCTAAAATCTGATATTATGTTCCACACTCTGCTGTCCTCTCTTTATATTACGCGCTAATCTATCCCTATCTTACATACGGTATCTGTACATGGAGTTCAACCACTGCAAATTACCTCAAGCCTATCATTACTCAGCAAAAATCTGCTATCAGAACTATAACAAACTCTGTCTTCAGACAACACACAACCCCTCTTTTTAAGTCCCTTAACATGCTAAACATACACTCACTCCACACATTCTCATGTGCTATAAACATGTACAAAACCTTGTTCCTAAATGCTAATCTTGAACTGAAACTTTTCCTTGATAGGTGTAACAGAACTCATGAGCACCACACTAGAAATAAATATATTTTTGATATCCCCAGAGTCAGATTAAATCTGTGCAAACATTCCTTGCAAATAAAAGATCCCAGTCTTTGGAAGTCACTACCTGATGAATTAAAAAATTGTCCAACCCATTCCCCGTTCAAAAGTAAAACCAAAAAGTACCTAATTTCATCCTCATAATTTTATACCTTGTGCTTCAAACTCACACTGTATCTTGTACTACCCACTTCCCCAATATTAATACTTAAAAGACATATCCTTACCAGTGTAATCACCACTGTCAACTTACATTGTAGTTATTTGTTGATATAAAAACCTTGCTCCAATGTACCTTTTCATCTTACCTGATATGTTAGATTAAGGACCTGTCCGAAACGCTCTGCGTGTTAGTGATTTTGCATGAATGTAAAAATACCAGTCTTATATAATCTCACCAACCCATTATACCTTCTTGCAAATAAAAGTTATTATTATTAATTTTATTATTATTATCGTCCTGGCAAGTGATACAGGAGGCTGGTGCGGCATTAACATTGCTTATGGTCAGCAGGGTCGGACAGGTAAGTCATCCAGCTTGCGAAACAGTTCTGGGTGCGTTACTCCGACTAAATATGTATGTAAACAATGTTGAACGTAGAGAAAAGGCCGAGTTCGAAATGTCCTCAGGGAGATATAATTAGTATATCACTTCGTATAAGATTTAATGGTCGATGGAGACCATCTTTATGTGTAAGATTCAAGGTAGGCACATAATATAATATACTTGGCTAGCACACAAGGGAAATAATAATAACACATGTATTAACTTTAACACAGAAATAAGGGTGACACTGAAAGTATTTACATGAACAATTACAACCTGGACGCGAATGCAGTTGCAGGCAAGCGTCGCATTGAGGCCGTAATTAATGTTAATTGTTGTTTTAGATTCAGCTACTCGAAACAAAAAGTCGCTAGTAGCACGGGCTATGGTGAGCCCGTAGTGGACTTACCTGGCACAGGAGCGGGGCTGTACCTGGTAACGCTGACTCCCTGAGCACCTGAGATAGACTGAGCAGGTGCCCGAGGTCATGGGTATTTATACCCATCTTGGTGATGTCACATCCTTTGTCACCGAGACTTGGAGACAGGCGGTATACCCAGACGTAATAAGGATCCGACAGTCCTTGTTACGTCTGGCGTTGCAAGGACTGTCGTCTGGGTTACGTGCGGTTGCAAGAACCCCTTGCAGGTCCTTGCAACCCCACACCGGCCTGGGGCTCTTATGCTGGGTGGAGGGTGTACTGGTGGTGGTGTCCAGACATTTGTCTGAGTTGAACTCCATACCCGTCGTTATACGCGGTATGCAGTGTGATGAATAACGAAGGTAAGAAGGAAGAGGCAGTTCTCTCTGCTATGCTGGGGAATTATGACAGTTATAAATCATCAAATATTATTATTAAATAAATAAAGGTTGTACTATATGCAGACGATGAGTCACAATAACGTGGTTGAAGACAGAATGACTAAACCACAACTCAGAAGCTGGAGAAGCGACGAAGTTTCGGACCATCCTGGACCATTATCAAGTCGTGTGATCATACGAACTGATAATGGTCCAGGACGGAACGAAACGTCGTCGCTTCTCCAGCTTCTAAGTTGTGGTTTGGTCATCAGGTCGTACTATAAATGTATAATCTTTTGTTTTTATTTTCAGGGAGCTGTAGTGGCATTAATGGTGCCCACAATCAACTCTTACTTCTGCGAGGTGAGTGACCCCCGTCACCGGGGCACTGTGACCAGTTTGGCCGGTTTCTGGGGCTCACTGGGCCTCTTGTTGTGTTACCTGCTGGGGTGCTTCGTGCGCTGGTACACAGCTGCCTGGATCATTCCCCTCGTCACCATCGTTCCAAGCTTCCTGGGCCTTATGGTGGCGCTGGAGTCTCCGTCCTGGCTCTTAAGGAAGGGAAGAAAAGCAGAAGCAGTAACCAACTTGCATCGACTACGAAGCTCATCGGAAGTAGCAAAGAAAGAGTTGGCAGATATTGAGAAATCTTTAACTAAAAATACAAATTCATTTTTCCAGTCATTAAAGTTATTAAAGAAAAGGGATAAATTTATACCGATCTTAATATCAATTTTTATGTTTGTAACGAGAGAATTTTCTGGAATTGCTGCTATTGCTATATACATAGTTAATTTTTTCAAAATTGCTGGAGTCGGTCTAAACCCATTTTGGAGTTCAGTTGTGGTAGGATCTGCTCGCATGGCGGGTAACTTCCTGGGAGCAGTTCTGCTTCGCCATCTTTCCCGCAGGTATCTCCTGGTTGGTGGCGGCTGTCTCAGCTCTGCGGCCTTGGCAGCACTCGGAACCTTCTATTTCCTACAGGACAAAGGGCATGACCTGTCCCAGTTGAATTGGTTGCCACTAATGTCCTTCGTGTTTTATGCCTTGGGAATAACAGTAGGAATAACGCCGGCGAGCTACCTGGTAGTTTTAGAGATCATTCCCGGCCCTGTTCGCGCCCTGGGTTTGGGAATTGCCACAACAACGTATGCCCTTAGTGCCTTCCTCGTTGTCAAGACGGTTAACGACGCGCAGACGGTACTGGGCAGTTGTGGTTTGTTTTGGTCATACTCTGCCGGCTGCGCCATCATTGTACTATTTGTTCTCATTTTTGTACCAAAACCCCGTAAACGATCACCTGAGGATATAGAAAATTAATGCTTGTCTCCAAATCATCAAACATCAGCATAAAATAGCCCAAAATCCATCAGACATCTGCATATATCTGATTATATATATATATATATATATATATATATATATATATATATATATATATATATATATATATATCATAATTCCTGGTCGAAGGTAAAGTTATTTAACAGTCGGTATCTAAGCTTGTATGGTTATGAACTATGAGACATGTAAAATGACGACTTTTGAAAGTTTAATTATGTGGAGGACATATTCTAGACGTATCTTGGATGACCATCATCGCACTCATTACAATCTCCTACCTGGCCCGATGACCACACCCACACTTGAGGAAATAATTCACAAACGAATGATAACATTTTGTCTGAAAGGCATCACCCATCTTGTAAACTAAATCACCTTTTTTCAGGCACTGACTTATCACTAGCCATTCCAACCTGTCCAGAAATGTAAATTTAATTGTTAGGAAATACAACTTCAGAATGGGTGATATTTTTAATAGGGTGGCGGGTCGACAGGACAATGTAGCACAATTTCCCGGCTGAGAGAGCGACGGAGACTTTTTTTTTATTAACATATGAGGTACATCTGCATATGTGCAGGTACCTTAGACTATATGAAGAGGAGTGTGTGTGAGTGTGTGTGTGTGTGTGTGTGTGTGAGTGTGTGTGTGTGTGTGTGTGTGTGTGTGTGTGTGTGTGTGTGTGTGTGTGTGTGTGTGTGTGTGTGTGTGTGTGTGTGTGTGTGTGTGTGTGTGTGTGTGTCAAAAAGCTAGCTACGTGATGCTAAAAATCCCCAGCACACAGGATGGTTAACGGCTCCTTTAAAGGCAGACCTTGAATTGTCGATGAGCAGTCTGAGAGCAGCAGTACACCGAGAACTTCAACAAGATCTTGTAGATCTGAGGCAAAGTGAAATTGACACCAGTAATTTCATCTATCATCATACTATCATGCAAGAGGAGCCACACATCTATGGATCATCCAATAAAATCAGCAGACTTCTAGATGTTACTACTGCTCGGCTTAGACTTGGTTACAAGTATCTCTGGGAATTCTCATTATCTGCTGATGTAGACCTGACCAAATGTAAACTGTCAAGAAAATTATTCGCACACCTTCCGGTGATGGAGTGCGAAAAGATACGTGAATTTAGAGACAATTCTATAACCAATGTTCCAGCGATGTGTAAATATTTCATTCAAAATGATCTGCTACCAGAAATTTTAGCCAAATATCCCCAGTTTGCTAACTGTAGGTAGTAACTGAGTGATTGTAACCTATCCACCGCTGCCCACTGGATGGGGGGCGGTGTGCAGGACAAACATATAAATTTTGACACTAGCTCTCCACATATGTCAGTTGCTTAATTTAGAACCTGTACTTGAGGTCGATCTCGAACCCATTGTTGATGTGACCACTTATATTGAATTTTGTAACTAGCTCATCAAGATTGTAACTTGCTTAGCTAAATGAATTGTGGGGTTCAGTCCCTGAGCCCATTATGTGCCTCTGTAACCCCTTCCACTACCGCCCACGGGATGGGTATGGGGTGCATAATAAATGAACTAAACTAACTCCTATTATTAATTATAACAGTAATCGAAAAAAAGTCATAGTTTGTATATACAAAAGATGAAACAGAGAGCCATGAGCTAGAACGATGTGCTGAGTCCATAAGGAGGCGGAGCGTCCAGAAATACCTTCCTGTGATTGGCTGTTGAACGGAATACCAACACCCTTTTATTAATAAAATTTTAACTAAGAAATAGGTCCTTGTGCACAACAACAAGGTTGTTGTGAAAAAGAACAACAATTTCTGTTTTGCACCTGACAGAAATCTCCATCTAACTGAATAATTTACTCGAATAAGAGGGCAGAGCAGTGTATCATTATTTGTGTCAAGGCAACCCCCAATAATGTCACAAGTTAGGTAGCCAACCCATTTTTATATAACATCCTGCAATATTTAATTATCACTTTAAATAATTAACACTTCACTTTTTGGGGTAAATTAAAGTTAAAGCAGAATTTCATAAGCAGGACTGGTGGGCTGAACTAAGATGATTTACTAAGTGGATGTTCCCTTCCTGTGATTGGCTGTTGTGTGAATGTCAACAAAGAGTTTCTACCAATGATATGCCATCATTTTTTTTATTATGCACACTATACCCATCTGTGGGCGGGGCTTGGAACCTCTTACCCGAGCACAACAACCCGCCTTATGGGTTGCTGTTTGGCTATTTATAGTGCGTTGAAAAAGCAAAAGATGGCATTAGTTGTATTTTGTAGGGTAATTTGTTATAAGTGTAATTTGATGTCAACAGATGGCGTAAGCTGTATCTTATGGCCACTGTTGACCTGCCAGTTGATAGTGTTCTTATGTGGACAGATGGCATCAGCTGTATTATTATTATTTTAATAATATTATTACATCTAATTTGTTACAAATTTGGGAATTGTTTATTCTGAGATTTATTTGATTAGAGGATTTATTGCCAAACAGAATATAGAAAGTTTTGTCAATGTTAAGGGTGAGTTTGTTGGCAGTTAGCCAAAGATGGACTTTATTTCAGTATTTACTGTGGCATTTAGAGCAAGGGGGTCAGGACTGGAGTAAATGAAGGTTGTGTCGTCAGCAAATAGAATTGGGTTGAGGTGTTGGGAGGCATTTGGAAGGTCACTAATGTAGATGAGAAAGAGGAGAGGGCCAAGTATGCTGCCCTGAGGAACACCGATGTTGATGGGTAGGGTGGGAGAAATTGAATTATTCACAGAAACATACTGGAGCCTGTCAGTAAGGTAAGATTTGAGGTATTGCAGGGAGTGTCCTCTGACTCCATAATGATGTAATTTAAGAAGAAGGTTTTGGTGGTTGACAGTGTCAAAAGCCTTACGCAGGTCCACAAATACCCCAACAGGGAACTCATTTTTATCAAGAGCTGCATGAATCAAGTTAATCATACTAATAAGTGCATCGTTAGTGCTTTTTTGGGTCTGAAGCCATATTGACAAGAGCTAAGTATATTGTGTTTGGCTAGATAAGAGTAAAGCTGCATGTAGATTAGTTTTTCAAATATTTTTGACAAGTTAGGCAGGATTGATATGGGTCTGTAGTTGTTAACATCTGGGAGATCACCACATTTGTGGACATTTGTGGACTCTCGCCTTTTTTTGTAGAATATCTGGAAAGGTTTGGAGTTCAAGTGAATCAAGAGTGTATGAAGTAGTTCCATAGCTCAAAGTACATCATACCATTTGGTCTGAAATCACTGATAACAGGGCAATCACTCCTGTGGATTTGTTCATTGATACATCACGATAATGTTATTTCTCTGTGTACAGATAACCGGGAGTTAGTCAACTGTTGCGGGTTGCTTCATGGAGAAGAATAGTCGTTGGCCTAGATCAAGTGTGGGACCTGCCATCTGACAATTATATAGCCAACAGAAATGTTGTGCGTAATTATATATCGGCTATATAAAATATACAGATATATACTAAGAAAATAATCACTATAATAAAATCCTCTATATTTTGTATAAACAAGATAAATTCTCTATATTTTGTATAAACAAGATATTATTTTATTTATCTTACGTGAAATTGGCGTTGGTGAGCCATTCGCTTATGGTTTTAGTAGCCAGAAGTGTTGACGTGCTGTGGTGGTCGCTGGAGCCGTGTTAGCCGTGGGTGTGTCGTGGTGACAGGTGCAGCCCCTGCTGCAACATCCTGCAGGAGGGTCATGGCTGCTGCAGGCACTGTACTGCCCTTCGTCCGGGGCATAGACTTGACCAGAAATGACTTCAAGGTAAGCCTGATATGCCATTGAGCCAATAATGACATGATTGCGAGTCTGTTATGTAGTCGAATCTGCAGAATCACATTTGTTCTTAAGGTTGCATCTCGGCAATCTTGGGAAACTACGTAAGATGAGACGAGGGTAGAGTTATTTTCAAGAGGTTTCAAAAGCCCACTTTCCCTGACATTCATGAGGTTATGTAAAGTTTTGTATGGTGAGGTTCAACTATTATTTGGTATGTTAGGTTGGCTTGGGATTGCTTTATTTTTGTAATAAATTAACTATGTCGGGGGACAGGAAGTCAGAGTGTGTTCATATACGTTTGGCTTTTATCGAGGTTTAATCTCCGGTTATCTGGATTTCTGTCCACATATGAACTTTTGGCAGAAAATTATCCGGATGCAATTTTGGCAGGATAACCCAAATACATGGTTCAGCGGGCTTTAAATAACTGAGCTCATACTTTTATTTATTTTTATTTATTTATTTATTTATATACAAGAAGGTACATTGGGTTTGTGAGAATACATAGCATAGTATTTACAATCTTGTACAACCACTAGTAAGCTCAGCATTTCGGGTTGTACATTAAATATGTACAGTACATATAAATACTGTACAGTACAGTAAATATACAGTACATTAAATTTTATAACTAGCTTATCAAGACTGTAACTTGTTTAGTTAAATGAATTTTGGGATTCAGTCCCCGAGTTCATTATGAACCTCTGTAAACCTTTCCACTACTGCCCGCAGGATGGGTATGGGGTGCATAATAAATGAGCTGAACTAACTTCAGCAGTTAAGCTTGTATGGGGATCTCGATCACACTAAACACAGTATAGTATAAAGTTTTAACAAAAGCAGGGTCACATGTCAACATTACGAACAAGATTTTGTGAAAATTTAACCATTACAAAATAATTGTAACTACATATTTGCATTAAGTGATACAACACTATTGGTAATGATAAAATACCTGAAATATATTCATTGTTTCCAAGTTTGTATTCAGAGTTAGCTCTAGATAAAGTAAGATAGCCTGAGTTACAAAAGGACAATTTTTGTCAATACTGTACAGTAATGTAATAATAAACTTTTATTGCTATATAAATTGCAATATTTGTATGATGAATATTGTGTTGAATGGGGAACTCTCAGGGGAAAACGCCAAGCCATTATGACTATATAGCGCTTGGAAGGACACAAACCAGCGCATATACGAACGGAATGGTTTGTATGTACAAAATTCTCAGTGAACGAAGTTGTTTCTAGCCCAGTATCCGAAATTGCAGTATACGACTTGACCAGTCCCCGGGGTCAAGATAAGGATTTGGGATGGGATGGGAGGAGGAATGGTGCCTAACCACTTGGACGGTCAGGAATTGAACGCCGACCTGCATGAAGCGAGACCATTGCTCTACCGTTCAGCCCAAGTGAAAGGACAAATTCAGTGTTGAAATATGCAAAGTGTTAACTATGTGATGTTACTCCAATATTCCATGTTACACTATTGTCCATATCAGTTCCAGTATACATGGTAGTTGTACAATAATTAGTGTACACTGAACACTACATTACTGTAATAATAATATGATTGACTTTAGGCCAAAACCCACGACAAATACTCGCTTTGCTCACAATTAAAATAAGTTGAAATCCACCTTAATCCTTCTGTTGCTATATGTAGCTATGGTCAAATTGCAAAAAGTTGTTTAAAGTGAAATACCCTATGACATATGTGATGTAATTACCTAAGTGTAGTTACAGAATGAGAGCTACTCTGGTGGTGTCGGATAAAAAGCCTTTTAGAATGTCACTGATAAATCCGAATCTGCATCACTTGGCTCAGGATAAAGCATACAAGTAGAGGAGTTTTGGACTCGATGAACTGCCAGAGATATCCGGGTCAGGAGGAGGCTGTGAAACCATTTTTTACTTTTGAATTTCCCTGAGGGCCACTAACACACTAGTGGCCTCAATGAGGACAAGAAGTCGGCAGCTTGTCAAAGATCTCCCTCCCCCCATTTGTCCTGATGATTTTTCAAGCTGGATTTTAAAATTTAAGTTTTGGTATTTAAGGGTTTTGCAGGTTGGTGGTTCCATGGCTTTATAACCCTGTGGGTGAAAAAGCATCTCCTGTTTTTATTCCTGCATTGTGGCATGCTGTGTTTGTTTGCTCCTTGTTTGTGTTACATCTAACCCTTTGAAGAAATTGTCTAGATAAACATCCTCTAAATTGTTAAGTATATTTAAGGTTTCCATGATGTCTGCCTTGTCATGCTTGGTTTGTTGTTAGCCCTGAGGCCTAAACCGTTCTTGGTATGAGAGTTGACTTGGTTCTGGAATTATTTTTGTCTCCTGGTGTTGAACATTCTCCAAAAGTCCTTCTGAAGATGGTCATATTATAAAATACCAGCACTGTACCTGTATCCCCAATTTTTTTTTTATCAGTCTTTGCAAATGTTTTCTGTCTAAATGGATTGTGCATTTGTTTAAATACAATGTATTTACCATTTAATAAAAATTTTGGCCTTTTCAAGTACTGTACGGTATTTGGCCAAAGATGTAATCACAAAATGTCTTATGTTTTAAATGACTAAAGGTCAGTAATGCTGATTATAAAAATGGGTTAACTTTTTTCTTAGAACTGGAATAGTTTAGAAATGTAGAGTATTACTGTGTATGGTTAAATCTTATATTTGAAGTAGACTATACTGTACTCGGTCTTGGTGTATTATGATTTTATTACTTGCAGAACACTGGCATTCCTCGGAGCATTAAGGAGATGTCAAGTCTCCGTTGGCTTCGAGCCAATAACACCGGGATAGACATGGTGCCTGAAGAAATTAGTAAACTACAAAAATTGGTTAGTGGAGTTCGACACGATTGATATTTATTTAAAATATGTCGGTAAACCTATTTTATTTGCAGTATTTATATTTTCATAAATTGGTACATTTAATATATACAGTATTTAGATTCCATTCACCTGGGCTCTTTGGGTCTCGAACCGTGGACTCCATGAGTGTGAGGCTGAAGCTCTATTGACTGGGCTGTGTCGATAGAGCTTCAGCCTCATACCTGTGGGGTCCACGGTTTGAGACCCAAACAGCCCAGGTGAATGGAATGTTTATTTCCATGGAAGTGTGGATGACAGTGTACAGTATTTAGAATTGACCCTTGTTTCCACTTCCCTGAGAACACACACAAGATTGAACACAGTTGTATTTAATTGATGATCATGTAAGACAAATAAGATGCATTTGGGGAATTTTTTATCAGGAGAAAGTATCAGGCCATCACAACTATATAGCACTTTGGAAGGGATAAGGATTTGGGATGAGATTGTGGGGGGGGGAGGAATGCTGCCCAATCACTTGGACAGTTGGTGGATTGAATGCCAACCTTCACAAGGTGAGACCATCGCTCTACTGTCCAGCCCAAGTGGTTGGGTGCAATTTTGAGGAGACAAAGTGAACATAGAGGGAAATCAGGTAAAAGGTTTCCTTCCCTTCCTTCCCCTCTGCCAAAGCAGGGTATTGTAAATTCCACAATAAAGGATACTCTGTAGTGTGTTCAGAGAGTGTTTGCAGTTTTTTAGAATCTTTATCTGATTTTGTAAGTTTTTTTATTTTGTTTATCACAGGATTTGCTTGATTCATCAAGCAGAGATACACATGTATTCATTTGGTGGAGATTGTGTTGGTATTACTGTATTTACATTAGGATTTACATTGTCGGGTAATTTAGTATCTAGCCGAACCAAGTACTGTACAGTACAGTATATACTGCATATGAATAAAGTGATTCAGATTCATGATAGTAAAAACTAGCTTAAGTACGTATGTTGTGATTAACTTGTCTACTTGATATTAATTTATAAAGATCTTAAGTTTTGTAGTGATTAGTTTTGTATTAAGTATGTATTTTTAACAATTCTGTTTTTTTTAGGGTCATCATAGTCTTATGTTTTCATATTTCAGGAGCATCTATCTTTAAAAAACAATAACATAGAAAAACTTTATGGTGCAATAACATCCTTGCCATGCCTCCGTTCTCTTAATGTCCGGCACAACAAGCTGAAGAAATCTGGCATTCCTAGTGATCTTTTTGAGATGGACGATTTAACAACTTTAGATTTCTCGCACAACAATTTAAGTGAAATTCCAGAAGGCTTAGAGGAGGCAAAGTCTCTCTTGGTGCTAAACCTCTCTGACAATTGGTAAGTGTTTATTTTATGAACTTTTTTACAAAAGAATGTGATAGTCTTTTCATTAAGATATTGAGTATCCTGCACAGTGGTTCTTTATTTAACATGCGAGTTACATTCCTGGTAAATGGTGCAGTATATTAACTGAAGATCAAATGGGGAAAATAAATTTTTCTGTTCATGACAGTTGTTCATTATAAGAATACTGTATCCCAGTTTAAATTGAGAGAGTGCCCAAGTCTGATTATAGTAAGACCTATGCTTGTGAGATTTTCGGTCTATAAATTTTATCAAATGCAGTCTGCTTTGTACACTGTGTTGTTCAGTTTTTCATAATTTTTGTTTTCATAGATTGCATCTGAAATATTTTGCCCTGGGGGGGGGGGGAATAGATTTCAGAAATACTGTTCACAAAGTATTAATAAGTACAGTGAATACAGGTAATACTGAATGACTAGTACTATGAAAGATGATCATATTAGTGAGAGGAGGGACTGCTTGTTTGATCCATCTACTGTATTTCATATGGAAAGTGAAGTATTATATAGATTTTAGAGTTGAGTGTATCACTAAACTTATAGGTTAATCATATTTTTGTTTCAGTATTGAGGAAATTCCAGCACAAGTGTTTGTGAACTGCACGGACCTCTTGTATCTCGATGTTGGTGACAATCGTTTGGAAACTTTCCCACCCCAGATACGGCGATTGGTTCATTTACAGACACTAGTCCTTAATAACAATCCATTAACACATTTTCAGTTCAGGTGAGTATGTTGGGATTATAAGATTTATATATATGATAAAATGTGTATTTTCTGGACAGATTAGACATTGACTATACTCAGTGGTGGTCACTCATAAGAGCTGGTGAACTGCAGTCTTCCCCAGATACACACTGCCAGGTGTATGACTTAACCAACCTCACACTAGAATAATAAACAACTAACAAATGTCATGATAGTCTGTTATTTTCAATATATTTGTAATGAATTTAAAAAATTTTCATTAAAAGGAGACGAAAATGGAGGCTTCATGCTGTACGATAGTGTAGGATTTATCTGCGCTATATCTGGCATTGTGATGCAGTCTCCCCATTCTGTATTCCCACGAGCTGCCACTGACTATACTGTATAGATAATTACATTCATATTCGTGTAAACTATACTTGAAACTCTGAAATAAAGCTTCAAGTCAGTAAGAAAAGTATCTTGCTGAGCATGGTCTTTTGACGGCTTCCAATTCTTCCTTTATTGATCGTCTTTCTCAGTGTGCACGAGTCAATTCTTGGCATCAGGTTGTGTGTGGTGGCTGTTAGATCAGGGAATTAAGAGGTGCTTTCGATTTGTCATCATTGGAGTTGGCTGCCAGCCACCCAGACAGGCGAACTGATAGTCCTCATTGGCAGTCACCCATGATGCCCAAGAGTTCAGAAAGGCTTTGAGTTTTATGAAATGACCTCTAATGATTGTATTCTGGACTGAGTAGTAGTAGGCATCCATCAGTCTCGGGAGACTATGGAGATGCACTCTGAGTACTTTCTATGATTTCTAACACTTGAAATGACCCCTGAGGGATGCTTGAAAACTACATGATACTAATGCCAGTGTTTGATCTTTCTTAAGGCCATAAGGAATCATACCTTCAGAAGCAGCTGAATGATTCTGCTGAGAAGTTGTTTTTCTCGTTGAATTTACCTTATTTTTCAGTTAGTTCAGTTGATTGCGCCCCCCTTGATTATTTAGGCTCCCTGTGGTCTGGATAATCATGGTTTCCAGAGTGAAATTGTTTTTGTGACAAGATATACAGCCTTGAGTTCCATTGTATATGCAAATGTGTGCTTTGTCAGATGCATTGATAAAACATTACTGTATAGTACTGTATGACTAAATATATCAAAGATCAGATGCACTAGAAGGTCTAGAAACGATCATTCCGATCACACAAAGTAACTATTTTCTTCATTGTGCAGTCTGTTCTCAATCTGCACATAAAATATGTTTTTACAAAACGGTTTCAAAGTGAATTTGATTTTGTGGAAAAAGAGATTCTTTTAGAGACCATCAAAAGTCCACTATTTTTTCACTGCTCTCTCAAACTATCTGCCTGAATATACAATACTGTTCATAAAGTGCAAAATGTAAAGGCATTATGATTCAAGAATATAACCTAGAAAATTGTAAAACAAATAATAATACAGTAATAATAATAATAGAGGAGTCACAAGGTCAGTTTATGATTAAATTGTCACTCGAAAATAATAAGTTGGGCAATCCTCACATGTAAACTTGCATGCAGGAAATCTTATCCTCATTCCATTCGAATTTTGATGTTGAAAATCATGTACTGCAATGCAGGTTTGAATTTACATTTTCTGTACTCTCTTGTTGAGGATCAATTGCACAGTAAGGTAACTGGCTCACTTAATTTAATCTTGACAAATAATATCAGTTATTTCTTCAGACAACCTACCTGACTTTCCTAGTATTAGTTGACAATGGTAGTTATTAAAGGTAAAATTGTCAACCCGTTCTCGCAAATTTAATAAGTCAATATTGACTTATTAGTTGTGTGCATAGGTGACATACTAAACATAATAGTTTCCCTTGAAAAGCTTCGTAGAAAACACCGACCTTACCTAACCTACTTAGTATGTTAAAATAAGCATCTTATAGCTTCGTAATTACAATTGTTACTTAACCTATTATAGGTATAGGTTAGGTAATAATTGTAATTACGAAGCAATAAGATGCTTATCTTAACATACTAAGTAGGTTAGGTAAGGTCGGTGTTTTCTATGAAGCTTTTCAAGGGAAACCATTGTTAAGTATGTCACCTATGCACATATTTAATAAGTCAATATTGACTTATTAAATTTGCAAGAACGGGTTGAAAATTGTATAGCTCCATGTGTCTGTCAATGTGTGCGCGCTACCATTCCAGACGAAGTCTCTATAAAAATTGCAAAATACTGTAAAGAGAAACATTTGGTATACTTTTTAACACGTCCTTAAAACCTTTATGTAACATTTTGAAATTTTCTCTCCCACAGACAACTGCCATCCTTAGTTGCCCTTCAAACACTGCATATGCGTGCCACACAGAGATCCCCTTCCAATCTTCCTGCAAGTTTGGAGGGTCTCACAAATTTGGCAGATGTTGATCTGTCGCACAACAACCTTGCTAAGATTCCAGATTGCTTTTTTACGCTTGTTAACTTGAAGCGACTGAACATGTCTGATAATGCCATCACCGAAATAGGCTCGGCTATTGGTAAGTAAATTATTTTATAAAGATAATTCTTCATGAACTGATTGACAGGGATCACATTTCATTTGTAGCTTGGCAGCTATTATTTAAGCTCGACTGTACTTTGGCTGAGGGGCAAATGACAGCCCGCCAAACACACACCGAAACTACGACGTTGGTACAACATTCGAACAAGTTTTAACACCGCCTAACCAGTTATAACAACCAATATAGCAAGTTGTAACAACGTTCTAATACGTCACAAACACATTAAGATGTAACAACTTTATTACAAGTTGTAACAAGCGGAAAATGGATACAGTTTCGGTTTGTGTTTCCAGGGAGGTGATATCTTAATATAGTAAATGCTCATTACTGTATGTAACTATTAGTTTATACCGAGTCTCACTCTTTGTTTATACTTAGAGACTATAGAAGTAGTTAATAATAACTTACTTTTACTAAGGATTTATTGTTTTCCCTGGTAGTTTTGAAACAAAACTGATTCTTACATAATATGCCAACAGAGGAGCTAGAAGTGGTGAATGTTTTTAAGGAATGAAGCTTGGTGTTCTGGGTTTGTGAGATAGATAATGGAAATGGAGAGTGGAATGTAGTAAATGTAGTAAGAACAGGAGTGAAAGAAAATAAGGGAGGGAAGGAATTTGTCAATAACTAGTGGTATGTGGTGATGACTAACTTCTTGTATTGCAGTTCAAGGTATTTGTGTGTGAAATTCAAGTTTGAAAGACTAAAGGTGGCAAATGTGACTTGTATGCATTTTGTAATGATGAAAGTGAGAATGAGAAACGGTTATAGAATATTAACTGTGAGTAAACTGAAAGGTACTGTGAGAATAGACCTTTAGAATGGCAGAGTTGAAATTGTCCTAGTAATAAATTACATTGGTTGCAAATTGAGTTATGTATGCAATGAGAGAGAATATGTATTACTAATACATACTTAAACAAGGATATACATAAATATTCATGATATAGCATAAATTCTGAAATTATGAACCTTAATGAAGCAAAACGTGAAGGTAAGAATGATTTTTTTTTCTACAAGGTGATAGGTATCAGTGAGTCTGTAAAATGGTACAAAAGAGCAAACCAACAAAATTTATAGAGGAAGGGGGGAGTAAAGGGCAAAGGAGGAAAGAACATGACGTTAATGAGGTGATAATCCAGAGAATACGTTATTTGGAGACCTGACAGAAAAATTAGAAAAGATAGAGGCATTGCTCTTGGGGTAAAGGAACGACTAAAAGTAAGAGAAATAATACTCGACAACCCAAGAAAAGTTGGTAAATAGACTGGTAAATAGACTGTGAATAAATGACATGTTACGGAATGTGGAATTGGAGAAAAGATTGATCTGTGGGGGGGGGGGGGGGGGTTAGATAGTAAATGGTTACCAGAAGACTACATAAAGGACAATGTGTGAAGAGCCTATACAGGTACTTTGCTTTCCAATTTCAGAATTACTTTTAAATATTTAGATGGAGAAATGCCAAAGAAATTGTTCACAACTTTTGAGTCCAAAATTGAAATATGCAGCAGTTGCATTGTGTCCATATCTTAAAGAGCATCGGTAAACTTAAAAGGTGCAAAGACATGCAACTCGTCAGTCCTACACACCACCGTTGGCTTTTGGAACCGAAAAACATGAACTACGGTGAGAGGCTAGAGGTGTTAGGTATGCTAAATCTATAAGACGGAAGAAAAAGAAAGGATATGATAACTCCATACAAGATTGTAACATGAATCTTAAAAAATTGGCAAAGAGAAATTTGTGAAACCTGCAGCTTCAAGAACAAAAGGTCATAGGTTCAGGCCAAGGAAACAAAAGTACCAAAAAATATAAGAAAGTTCTCTTTTGCAAACAGAGTGGTAGACAATTGGAATAAGTAAAGTGAGGTGTAGATGCCTAAACTGTCATTAGTTTCAGAGAGTTATATTACAAAGAACTAGGAAGGCCGGACACCACAAGTTTAGCTCTCATCCTGTAACTACACTTGGGTAATCACACTTGATGCTTCAGACGGGTAATGATATACAGTAGTGGGTGTTTGTTACAATGAAGTATCATCAATTGCTCTATGATGCCCATTCTTAAAAATTTTGTTGTAGTTCACTTTAATATAGTAAATTTTATTTTTTTCCCCCATCAGAAAACTGGACCAAAATTGAGGTTTTGAATATGTGTCGTAATGAACTCACTGCTTTGCCTTCACAAATATGTAAATTAGAGAGTCTTCGCCGACTTATGGTAAATGAAAACAAGCTTGATTTTGAAGGAATTCCATCGGGTATTGGCAAAATTGTTGGTTTAGAAGTTTTCTCAGCTGCTCACAACCGCCTCGAGATGATTCCAGAAGGACTGTGCAGGTAGGGTATATAACCATCATGCTTCAGTCGTAATTTGATGTAATCCACAAATGATTTGGGATTTATACAGTCGACTTTTGCTTCTTCATGGAAATATATTCCTTATGGCCCTGTGCAAAACTGAGCTGAACCGGTATTTTGTCAACCTTTGAGTTGCTGCTCTGAGTCTTGAGACACTTCCACTGTGGTCAGCTGTAAAATTAATCAGAGCAAATAATCTTAAATTTTTATCTGTACATAAATTTCAAAACAATAAAAAAATGAACAATTAATTTAAAATACAGTACTGTATTGATATATCTTTTTATAAATACAGTATTGTTTCCCTTTATCGTAACATTAGAAAATGGGTTTGGGATATAGAACAAAAGTAAAATACCCTTTCTAAAAACAAAACTGAAAAACTAGATCTGATCATCTTCCATGAGCTTATTGCAGTGTAATCCTAGCACCATTATTGATGATTTATAACAAATTGTGATACATTGGGCAAGGCTGTTTAAAAAAATCTTAGTTTTCCAAGCTTTGTACTGTATCGCATTCACGTGTCAACCTAGTATACTGTACTTGGTTTGTGATTTATCATGTCAATAAGTTTACAATAACTTACATCAAGAATAATGTGCCAAAAGAATGATTTTAATTTTAACAAGATTTTGATTTATCTTAAAACAAAAATGTGTACGAGTGACAAAGATTTAATTTTGTAATAAATGACAATTAAAATTTCTTCTAACAGATGCCCCAACCTTAAGAAATTGATACTAAATAGCAACCGCCTAGTGACATTACCAGAAGCCATCCACTTCATCAGCGAAACTCTGGATCAGTTGGAGCTCGCCGACAACCCAGAAATGGTTTGGCCTCCAAAGCCTCGTGGGATGGCTCAAGGTTCGGGTATTGCCTTCTACAACATTGACTTTTCCCTGCAAGCCCAGTTAAGAAATGCTGGGGCCCAGGCTGCACAACTTGCTGCCACTCTGGCACAACAGCAAGGTTAGTAGCGAAGTAGAGCACCAAGGCTGAAAGACTCGAAAGATTGGATTACATGTAGAATCACATTGCAAATTAAGTTACTGATCATTTGTATCTATGCAGGTATTACACTGACCAACAGAGTAAAGCACTTGTTAATATCTTGTTCATTACATTTATCTTTGCATGTGTAAAGCAGGTGTACTTGTAAATGTATAAAGGATTTCTTTAGGTGAATACATACAGCCTAAGGAATTGCTTTTGGAAAGTTAAAAAGAAAAATGCAAATAATTGGTTATGAATTTCTAAGAAATTTTGGGTGCTTTCTAACGTGATTCAGTGGTTGATGACAAATACAAGGATTTCATTGACTAATAATTAAAGGAAAGAGTCAACATTAAAAAAACTAGATAAAGATTAATTGTTAATGAAATAAGAAAAATATAGAATAAATAAAATTCAAGGTATACTTTATGATAAGGCCATATGATAGTTACTAATGAATATATGGAAGATTGTATATGAATTTGCTTCAGGCACACCAAAAGACCCAATTGCTCGAAAGAAGAGACTACGTCAGTTCCGCAAAGACCAAAAGGACCAACAAGATGACAAGCAAGAAAAAATCCTAAAGGGCATGAAAGAGATCGCTAAAGATGAAGAGAAGCAGAAACAAAAAGACAAGATGACTGAGGAACGCAGCCAGGAGGTTAAAACGTATGTTGTTTTGTTGGTTAATACTCTGAATAAAGAGTTGAAACAAAATTGGGCTAATAATTGTAGAATGTAGCAGCATTATTTATTGAAATAACTGAAGCTAATGTATTTTGCTTTTTTGTTTTTGTTTTTGGTATCCTAAAGTTTCCTTAAAAATGTACAGTATTTTGGTTTCATATCTAGTTACAAATAATTTTGCAATTGGTAGGAAGTCCAATTCAATCCATACAAATATTTAGTATAGCACTCACACGCATACTTATAGCCTGAAAATGCCCAAAAAGAATTGTTCTTAACACTGTATTTGTCACATGGTTAAAAAGCCCTGGAATGTGGCACTGGCATGGCAAAGACAACATTTATACTGCTCGGGGACAAATCTGAATAATTACTTTGATTAATATGCAAACAACATCTTCCACTCTCCAAATAGATATGAAGTACAGAAAATTTATACTTAACAAAGCCAGCATTTGTTCATTTACACCATTTTGGCCCTACTTTTCAAAATAAAATGTGAGGAGTTGATGCCTTGGAAAAGTCATTTTGCATATCTAAAACAATTTTAATTATATTTTGAATATTGAAGTATTTTCCATATAAAGTATGGAAAATAAAGATTTTCAAATAAATAAACTACATTTTTAGTGTATTATATGCAATATAAATCATGGTTCAAGTGACTTAATTCCAGGACATAAATGTTCTAATATTACAACATATAGTACTGTACAAGAGATAAATACAGCCAATATGCATAATCACCGAAGAATTTTATGTATATGGGTATTAGTAGTAAAATAAACAATGAAGAGTTTTGCTCTTGTCTGAAGTGGCTCCCTTCAGTGACTACCCAACCACTTGGGCTGGACGGTAGTGACGGTCTCGCTTCATGCAGGTTGGCGTTCAATCCCCGTCCATCCAAGTGGTTGGACACTACCACCCTTGTGCCCCCCCCCTCCCTTCCCCAATAATCATCCTGACCTTTTCCAAGTGCTATATACTGTAGTCTAATGGCTTGGTACTTTCCCCTGGTAGTTCCCTTCCCTACAGTGACTCTCCAGAGTATATGTACTGGCACCTCGGGGCCAGTACCTTCACGACAGGTAGGTCTAACCATCTCAAGACCTTCATGACTCATGATTTTATTCTCTTGTCAGTGAGGCTGCAGAACTAAGGGAACCATAAAACTTCACATACTGAGGGAAAACCCTGCCAGGATAGCTTAGAGGGTCATACAAATTCCCTCATGTTTAAAGATTGAGCACGAGTGAATACTTCACTAATGTTATTCCAATATCTAAAATGCAATCTTGCTACTTTCTCTTACTGCAACATTCATGGTTCATGGCACTTGAACCTGCTTGTCACCCAGGATTCCAGTGAGGCCAACACATCCACACTTGACTGGTGCCCCTATCTGAAACACCAGATATTCTTAGGCAGTGTGTTTTGAGTAACCTGGTTGACTTTTCTATTTATTTCATGGTCCAATGTTGGGTTAATGCTTTATAATGCTCTTTTTGATCACATTTGCCAGTTGATTTGTGTGTATACTGTAATTTATTTTAGCAAACTTCAGCCATGATTTCAGTAACTTTACTGGTGCACTGTTTGGCCACAATTGGCTGCTTCCCACAGTTATCATCAATTATGCTGCTGTTTCCTCCTTATGGTGGACATCCTTAGTTCTTCCTCACCTCAGATAGTGCCTTGGAATTTGGCCACAAAGTGCGACCTGAAGATGGTAGTGATGTAAATAGAAGTTTAGTTTTAGTATTGCATTTGGGTTCTACTTGGTTGGGTGAGAGACTTACTTTGTACTTGTGCTAGGTTCTGCTAAGCTACAGGCATGTAGCATGTCATGTGCTATGTTGACATGGCTTTGACATGAAGGGAGGTTTGTTATGAAATTCCGGATCCATACATTGTGGAGGTTATTTGCTTCAGCTCAAGTGGTTGAAGTATTAAACATAAGAATAAAGGAAACTGCAGAAGGCTTACTGGTTCATGGAAGGAAGCTCATATTGATATACAACCAAACTTGTGTGTGTTTAACCTTCGCTTGAAACAATTCTAAAATCTCTCGTCAATTGTATTACTCAGTTATTTGTTCCATAAGTCAACAACTCTTATTTCCAAACTAATATATGACCAGGTCTTTTCTGAAACTAAACTTAATAAATTTGTACACATTGTTTTTATAGATATATTTAACACCCAATCCCTTTTGTTATACTTACTTTCATTTGCATACTTAAGTATGTCACCCCTTACCGATACATATGTGCCAAGTATTGAAAAAGTTTGCACATTTTTATTTAATTTAATTTTGCTTTATTGCAGCCAGAAGCGTTGGGATGAAGCTTTGGAACGCCCACCTCTTAACTATCACGAGTTCTTTGACCCAGATGTTGGTCGGATTCCAGGACTCACCATTTGGGAAAT